TGGAATTTTTGTGGAATTTTTGGTCTTCTGGGCCTAAGTGGACTTCTTAGGATTAGGAAAGGTCTTAAGGGAGTTGGAACGGGCGTTCCCATACGGAAAATCTGCTCTATTCTGCTTTTTGGACACATAAAACTCACTGAAGCGAGTTCAAATGCAGTCTATTCTTCCATAGCTTTCAATTCTTACTTACTTCCACTTCTCTTTTTCCCCAGCTAGACTTCATTCTTCTCAAAGCTATAAGAATTCCAAACATTTATTTATTGTTCTGTGACTACGCCCAATCTAGACCTTTATGACATTATCAGAGTTAAATTCCATTAATTCCCATTTCCCCGACAGAAGCTGCATAAGTAGAGTGGTATTTATGAGCAATAAAAATATTTTAGTGATGTCTCGATACTGAATCGGGTGCAATAATATTTTGTTTTTGAGCAATAATATTTTTTGTAGACATAGAAAGCCTAACTGACAGCAATGACACTCCTTATCAGTAAGAGCTACTTCTTGGTTTCTACGAAATCTGATTTTGACGTGTTGTACTCATCAACGAAATAGTTAATTCTTGAATTAATAGCTTTTGTCTGAAGAAAATCCTACAGCATTTTGAAAGAATTTTATTTTTATTATTTTTATTGCGCGGTACAGTCATGTTTGGAAAATCTTGATAAGATAAGAATACATACCATACGTGAAGAATCAGACAAATGGGTACCAAGGCTTATCATTGATTCTCATTAATCTTGATGTAAAAACCTATTATTCTTATTCATATTCTAGTGGATTTTGTAATCTCCAAAAATCAGTATTTTGGTTAAAAAATGACCAAAACAAATTAATCTCCAGTCTCTATATTCTGATAATTTTTTCTTGTGATAATCGGCTTAAAATGACGTATAAGTACACACTGCAGGTAGAAAGCTTTAATTTTTTCAAGAATAATCTCATGCCTTTTGAACTGGATGAACTAAATTTTTTTCTGCAGATTATACCAATTTTCATACAATGTTTCCCCTTATCAGTAATAATAAACATGACGTCATTTTCCTGCCAGTAGCTATATAAATTCAACGTCAATCGTTTCAATAGTCAGTTCTGCATCCAAGCCTTTTTACTATTATTTCAGGCTTGTCTTCTGTAACTATTACTCTACAAAAGCAATCAAAATGATTTCTGCAGTGCACTATCTAGGTATGTCATGCAGTTGACATTTATTTTCTTGCGAAATGGTCCCAAATATAAGGTTTCCTTTGATTTATCATGCTTTCTCCCCAAGGACTAGTGACTAGTGCAACGAAATAAATTCATCTCGGACACGACATCGTTGGGGATCCGCATTCTTTTTCTTTTTTTGTAGTAACGAACGGCTATGAATTCTTGGCTACGTAGAATGGAAAAAAAGTTGGCGCAGGGAAACTTAGCCACATTCTTTAGAACAGTTACGATAATTAGCTATTTCTCATAGTTTAATGTAGTTTTTGCGCGTGATATTAGCGCTTCTTTGCTATGTCTGCAATTGCACAAAATCCTCGATGATGATGGAGTGTACATTCCGCAGGTGAAGTGCATTTCATAAATGTTCCTGTGGCCTTCAAACACCTTTTTGTTTAAGAGAAGCTAGAAAAAAGCACAAAATATACTATTTGGGCCCCGTTATTAACCTCAACATGGAAATTGTGCAATTGCACACATTAGCAAGGAAATATACTCAACTTGCCATATATAAATACAGTCAATTCCAACTGTACCAAGATCTAGTTTGCTGATTTGTACTTATACGCTTATTCCCTCTTCCTGAAGTAGAAGAACCAAAAAAAATCCCGACTTAAAATTGCTGCAAATGCACTACAATGAATTTGACAAAATAAATACAGTAATCCTAGCGTATATCCGGGCCCTATGGTTCTTCTCCTGAAAGATGTGCAATTGCACACATTCGTAGACATATTTTCTCGACCCTACTTCAGTTTGTTTTTACGCTTATCCTTTTTATCGTACTGTAAGGGAACGCACTTGTAAGTGCCGCAAATGCACAACAACAAACTTTACAGCCATTGCTACAGTAATCCTAGCGTAAAATTTGCTGCAGTGCAAAATGCAATAATTTTTACGCCTGTTTTGCTGCCTGAGGGATGAATGACAAATTGTTGAAGCGTTTTCTCCCTAGAATAGCCTTGACGAAGCAATTCACGCCATATTTCCGCTAAAATCAGCCAACCTGCGTTGTTTGCGAAAAACAACGCAATTCATGCATATAACACTCCAGCCAACACAATCTCCAGCTTCACACACTTTCCATCACTTCAGCCCCTATGTTTGTCTGCTGTAGGCGTTATTTTTTCACTCTTTGTCGACGATTGCGAACAGAGATACCGGGGCTGTTCCTGGGGGTAAAGCGCCTCACTGGAGCGGAAGGCAAACATACTTTGCCCCTTTCCACCCGCTGTACTCTTCACCCCCTTGCAATTCATTTGCATTCTGTAAACTTTGCTTTCAGACAAGCTGAGCCTATGTTTCAACAAGATAATCAGCTTTTTCTAGGGGTTTATTTGATCGCTGACAAATCTTTGACAACTGCAATGTTCACTTAAATTTTCCTTGAATTTTGTCGAAAAATATTTCAAAATTGTGCGATTTTTCACTGTATTTTTAAAACAAAGAAAGCAAAAATACATAGAATATTTATCTACAACATTTGAGTTTCGAAACCGTTGTATTTGATTTTTTGCAAGCTTATGACATACGCTAATTAAAGTTTCTACGAGTTATGTCGGAAATATTTCAGAAATTGTTTGATTTTCTGGCTGTCATATTTCTAACCCTGAAATTTAATACATAATTCTAGCCCATAATCGAATTTCGAAACCTTTGGTGCTTTATTCTTCCGATTACTTCATTTTAATTTTACACCGAATAGAATACCTTTTTGGAAGATTGCTCTTGAAAACTTCAATGTCCAATTCACTCTCGATATAGCTGAGCCATTCTTATACTCAATTTTCACCATAAAATCCCTTCGATTATTTACAGAGCGCTCAATTGCTAGATTTAGGTGATTTATTTCCACTTTTATAAACACGATTCTTGAAAAACGTTCTGAAAATAGGAATATCCGTCGCTCACATTTAAAGGTAAATGCCGTGTTAGATTCTCAAATTTTTAAAAATTCTTCCTTCCGTAGTAACCCAAAACATTCAGTTGATGTATTTTTGAACTCTCAAACATAGCATTTCTTTTAGAGGATAAGAGCCCAAGTGGGTTTTGAATCGGATAGGCAAATTCGAATTTTTGAAAAAAAATAAAACTTCTCCAAATAAGCTATTTTTAGACCAAGTACATATATGCTAAGAAATTACGAAATAGCTTTGCTAGACGAACTTGTTGTCCATATATGTGCTCCTTCTTTGTACTTACCTTCACGGGGTTCATGAGCGTAAGTGACTGGAAAAGTGCATCAGTCGTAATTACTGAATGAAAAGTATTACTACGAAGAAATAGTACATTGTTCCATGAATGAGAAATAATAGACAGCTGTTAATTCTTCTCATGCAGTCAACTATTGCGACTGTGTGCTCATTTTCTATCCAGTGCTTTGTAACAGTTGCCTTTGCAAACTTCCAAGGTCCCAAAATTGCTTTGATTTTCAAAACCTTTACAATGATTTCTACTCACTACGTCGTATAGCAGCCCTGGGTCACAATTGTGAATATAGGGCGATAAAAAAATCACGATAGACGAAAGTGCAATTCCATTCAAGTAGCCGAAAAGCACCAAGAGAGCTGCTTAGCTAAGTGCAATAAAATTCTCAAGTCTCTTTTTTCGGGCGCTGCAAAAAATCTTCCGCCTGATTTAGCGTTGCCTGGCTACGGCACACTTGCTTGACATCCAGTGTTTTACTATTTTTAGCCTTTCACTGCCATGGATCTTCTTTTTTGCGCTGTTTGTCTTCCTTGAAGTCATTTTTTGCTTGAAGTTACTTTGTCAAAGAGTTTCCTTCATTCTTTTCCTCAGAATTCGAGAAATATGTAGGCAATTTTTTCGAGGCCCTTTGCTTCTCGCGTTTCTTATGAATAATGAAGTGTGACCTCGTTAGGAAGTCCTGTGAGACAAGCAGCTTCTCTTTTTCTCCATAAGCTGAATATTTCCAGGAAAAAAGTTTTTATCTTTCTTGCTGCTAAAACGGGACTAGAAACGAAGGCTCAAAAGCATTTTCACAACTTTTCATGTTGAAAAGCCGCTGAACTCAGAAAAACATGATTTTATTAAAGATTATAAATACTCAAAGAATTTGGCAGTACTGTGATGGAAGTTGTGAAGAGTCAGAAAGGCAGGTTGCGACTCATTTTTTGTTGGAAAATTTTCTTCATTTTTCTGTTCCAGTTCCTTGCAAAAATCTGTTCACAGTATATCACTGAATCCAACGTCAGCTAGTTGCAAGAACATGAATTTTACTCAAAAAAAGTTCTATTAGCAATAGAGATCAAAAATCCGCGTTGAACCCGTCGCAACTGCATAATTCCTTATAACAAATTTCACTGATTTTCACTTCATTTTGTAAAAGATACAAACTTATGTTAGCTGCTGGACTAGTGAAATTTTCTAGGTCAACGATCTCAGCTCACTTTGCACTAGACGGGTCCCATCTACTTTCACTTCTTCAGAGCGCAATAATAATCGCGTGTGTGAAAATGCTAATCACTTGCAGTTACAAACCGCTCTGTCTTCGTCTACAGTTCGCGCATTCTTCTCAGGACGCTCCGGCTTCTGCCACATCTCCGGCCGGGCTGGCTACATTCTCTCTCTCTCACTATCTCTTGTCGGTTGGTGTCTCGGGTATTTGTCGTGTGATCTCTCTCACGATCTGCGCAAAACCAGCTCAAATCGTGCGCTTTTGCCCGCTCCCCGGCTACCAACCCCCCGTCGTCGATTACGCCCCCCGCGTTCTCAGTTATATCTACCCCCGTCAACCTACACTCATATAACTAGTTACGCACAACACATACAGGCGCCGCCCGCACTTATACTACCACCCCCTACCTGTTAATCCCATGCAGAATCGCCTGATTCGACTCTTGTAATCGTTACTACTCCTGTTCGTCTATGTTTTGTTACCAGATCGCTCTAATCTAGCATACCACTGCCAGCGAGAGGTCACCAGCTACAGTTTACTTACAGTATCCCTACAGTAATCCTCATGGGTGAAATATTTTTGAACCCAATGTTTGACTCGTCCGATTCCGATTCTGAACTATCGTATTCGAGCCGATATCGATCCGTTTCGCATCACTCTTTACCACATCCACGAAGCCGGTACTTACCTCGTGCCTCCTCTGTAGGTGAGTCAAGTCCGGAGAAAGGGGGTGGGAAAAAATCCGATTATTTTTTTGTATTTTGCTGGATTTTTTCTGCCTAAGCAAACTAGCTGCACCTACTTAATCACACCAGCCTAATCATTTGTTTACACTTCGATTACTTGTTCTAATTCCTGAGCGCAAGATTGTTTAGTAGATTTATAGCTCCTATGTCAACTTACTTTACCTAATCAATTTTAAAATCTCAAAAGTTGTGTCCCAATGGGGGCATTTGTCCTTTGCACTGCTGCAAGAGTTGCACTTTTACTGGCAAAGTGATTTCACATCATATTTATTTTATGTCAGTAGTTCTGCATAAAATTCGATTTCGGAAAATCAAAAAAGTAAGGGGGCTATAAAGTTCACATTAAGGAAGGATATTTTCTAGAATATTTGGAATATTCAGAAAAAGGTCAAACACATCAATTCCTTTTCCGAATTTCCAGAAAAATCCACAAGAATATTCACCCATTTTCAACATTTTATATTACAAAGTCTTCAGTATAAGATCACAATCACTCTTTTCAAGATCCTAGAATTCCCAGAATATCCGAAATAGCATTTCGCCTATTTTCAAGAATTTTCTTGTCTTGGAATTTTCAAGTTTTCCAGGGTAAGGCCACACCCATCTTTTCCTCTGGTATAATCAATTTTAGTGACAATAAGAAAGCCTCAAAGAAAAGAAATAGAGTGAATGAATTCAGACAATTTTGCACGGTAGTTTTAACTTTCTGTTTTGCTGGAAAATGTATGCGTCAACAATTTTGTACTTGACGCTTGTAGTGGACTAGATCTCATGTTCTCTGTGTTTCGGCACTTGAAAATATTTTCAACAAAAACATGCAGGAGCTTTTTATACCAAGAGTTGACAGTACTTCACGAAAACAAGTAATAAAGGACTTTTCAAGAGATAATAAAAATTAGCACAAATTTAAGGTTAATATGCACGGATAATACGCGAATCAAAATCATTGAATCACATGTGTGTAAGGGTTGGAAAAGTCTCAAGTACAGGGAAAATCCCAGAAAATTTCCCTCATTGCCGCTCCATAATTCTATATTTTTTCAGTCTCGTCCACCTACTCAACCGTTGGTCTGCTGCAGATGATAAGTCCAGACCTTCGACAATCACTTTCCGGCCTTTTAATACCATCCGAAGCCATTGTGCTCGAGTCTATTGTGGGCAAGGGTGAGTTGTGCGTTCAGCTGAGCTGACTGTTTTTATCAGTCGAAACCTAGTTTCTCGTATGTATCCAAGCACTCTCAAGTGGTTCTCTTCACTGGTTCAGCACATATGTACGTAGAAAATGTACGCAGAAATGCGTCAGCCTAGACACTAGTTGTCAGCTATGATTTCAACGGTTTGGGTAGAGGGGGGGAGTGGTGTAGGGGCCGAATTTGTGTGCCCATTCATCATTGTCGGGGGCCCGAGGACAAGAAATGAACCCGCTTTTCAAGCTTTTCTTCTGTTGTAAGACGATCCTCTCGCCAAATTTGTCTCTCGCCCGGGTAAAAACAATAGGGGACACTTTGCTAGCCTGACAGCTTCCACTTCTGTCCCTTTTCAGCCCTAAATGACGGAAGCACGGGAGGAGGGAGAGCGGAGGGAAAGAAAAATGCTAGGAAATGCTAGTCATTTGCTATTCTTTGGCTCTTTCTTGCGCGGAAACACAAATAGAGGAGCAGCGCCTTAAGAATTCTGATCTTTCCTCCCCCCCCCCCCCCACCCGTTCAAACGACTTTAGCATTGTGCGCTCTTTCGAGCCCCCTCAGCTCTCTCTGTTTGCTCTTTTCCGCAACTCAGAAAATTTCGAGGCAACTCGGCCGAATCTCTGACGTAAATCGTTATTGATCGACGCAATGAAAAGACGGAAGCTTGATTTGCTTGAGCAAATCTTCTATTTCCTAAGTCAGCTGAACGGGAAAAGTGGCCGTGTGGTGTTCAGATATCCTCTGGGGAGAGCTTAGTCACTTCTTGAGCGCTTATCTGGCAGACTTCTTCAGCCAATTCGTTCTTGAGTAGCCGCATAAATCTGTTGAAAGTGAATCGAGATGAAAGAAACTTTAGTAATGTGACAGCTGACTTCTTGAACGAAAAAGTTGGGGAGGGAAATTGAGATTGAAAAACAAAAATTGAATGGGAAATGGAGATGTAGAAATTCATAGATACTGTGATATAGGAGTTCCTTTTCAACTTGCTGCGGGTCTTGGATCACTGGAACGCTAGATTTGAAAATAAAAAAATGTAGAGCTTGTGATCTACCTTTGCTCCATCATGATAATCTTTTCTACCTATAGAAAAAATATTTTAGGTTATTTTGGAAATGTTTATCGTGGACATATGCGAGACTCGGCAGGCAGAACACATCCAGTTGCTGTAAAGACCCTTAAAGGTAATTCTATAGTCGTTGTGGAACTTTTATAAAATTAATTTTGACCAAGTCATGTTTCGTCTCGTACTGCAAATTATGTTAATTTTATACTGGAACTTTTTGGGAAGTCTGGGAAAAATTCCCGTGGAAGTTCCCGTTATCCACGCTTAAACTTCTTCAATAGTAGACTATCCAGTGGATATGCTCCAAACTTTTCTTGTTTCGCGGAAGTTCCCATGGGCTGTTAGAGAAAGTCTTGGTTTTATGATCCTCTGTGGTTTCTGTTGTTTACCGTAGAGAGTACATGGAATTTCACAGCTGCAGCAAAAAAATTTTTACTGTTTGCTAACAAGTCTTCTTAATATAGTTAGTCTGCTCACTATTTACTTATAAAAAATTGCTTGAATAGATCTAGTTCTAGCACATCCAGCTTGATAGTTGAGTCCACTACAAAATCGCGCATATGAAGAAATTTTGTGTGCTTTACGGTCTTTTTATACAGCAAATTCACTACTGTAGGTATACTGTAGCCTTGAACGCGTGCAGATGTTGCTGCTTTTTCTGAAATTTTTACATACCGCCAAATTTTCCATATTTTGCTCAAGATTTGTATTTTAGGCGAACGCTCGCGCGACATCGCTCACATTGAGAAATTTCTCCGTGAGGGAATAATTATGAAGCATTTCGACCATCATCATGTCCTTTCCCTAAAAGGCATCGCAATCTCACCATCGGGAACTCCGTGGGTGGTCTTGCCCTACATGGAAGGAGGCGATTTGAAGACCTATATCGCTGATCCGAGCAGAGTAAGTTGTACAAGAGTTCGATCAGTCTTGGACCCGATTAATCATGTCCTTTTTTACTAATGGAATATTTTTTAGGCTCTTTGCGTGCTGGAACTTCTTGACTTTGCCTATCAAGTGGCCCAAGGAATGGCGTATCTAGCCGCTCAACATTTTGTCCATAGAGACCTTGCTGCTAGAAACTGCATGTAAGTTTATTGATGCACACCCAATAATTGAATATTTTAACAAAGTTCTCAAAGTGCTAAAATTAATATTTGTTACATAATTGCACTGTTATTAGTATATTAGTCTTTCGGATGGTGTTATTGCACTTCTAAGCGTCATTTCTAGGGCATAATGACTCAAAATAATCTGCTTATTTATAGAAGCTCTTGCTCTTTTCAACTTCAGCAGTACTAGGGGTCCTTAAGTACTGCTTCAATTTTTTTAAAGATCTCTTTCCCCTTTCAATGCTGATTGCAAAGTTGCAAAAGCTCGGACAATTGCACTAGAATTCGATAAAAGTTGTTCCATTTATTTTTGTTTAAAACAAATGATTGAGATTTGCTCCAGTAGTGAGTTTGCAACGGGTAAACTTTAACTGCAAATTAACAAAAAAATGACAGGGATCATCTAGGAATGTTAGTTGTTCAACCATAACTAGCCATATAAGAAAATTAATTTGTTTGGATGAATTTCCTAAGTGCAAGTGGCACTAGAATTAATTGCAGCCACACACAAACAGCCCGTCTGAATCAATTATTTTGAATTTCAAAATTCCGTTCGCAGCAGTTTTGTTTGTGTAACCTCCACTATAAACTGATAATCAAAACAAATTAGATTTTAACAGTTATGCGTTTTAGTGAAGTCCTGGTTTTCCTTTATTGCTTGCTAATCCTTATTTATGTCAACAATTTTGCAATGCAAGCACTCATTTTCGCTTCATAGTACTTTTCTTTGTTTTTTTGTATTGACGAAGTTATTATGGAAGACATGATGCTTGTATCTATTCATTTTTTATCCATATTCCTACAAGAAGGATTTTCTGAATGCGGCAATTTGAGAAGGCTGTAGTATCTGTCACCATACGCAGTTTTCTGAACTGAGGTTCCACCAATGTCAGAAAAGGGGTCTAAGTTAGGGCCTCATTCGTTAATCTAGTAAAAATTCTCGTGCATTTATATCGTTTCCTAAACTAGATTTCATGATACACAATCCTTGCAGGATATCGTCGAATCGAGTGGTCAAAGTCGCAGATTTCGGCCTAGCCGTTGACTTACTGGATAAAGAGTCGTATATAGATGAGTCGGAAACAGGTTTGTCAGCATAGTCAGTCTCTCATAATCGCCCGCTGTCGATTACGATACACATCAGCACTTGTTTTCATTGTAGGGCCAGCTCGATTGCCTCTGAAATGGCTTGCGCCTGAGAGTCTCAGAGACCGACGAGTATTCAATGCCGCTACGGATGTGGTAAGGTTTTGTACTGGAGAAGAACAATTCAGTTAAAAATAAGATATCAGAAAAACTATTTCATCTTTTTTATGGAGGTGTCATTCATATGAGGATTTCCAAAAAAGTCCGAACAAAATCAATAGAAAACTTACATTTTGACACCCTTTAACCGCTTTGCTTACCCTTCTTGACTAGCTGTTTTATGCAAGGGTAGCTGTAGCTTAATTTGTGAGAATCCCTAAATTGCTTACGGGAGAGAATCTTTGAACAGTAATCTCGGTTCGAAATTGAAAGAAAAATTTTATACTCTGTGTATCAAATTGAGATAACCTCAAATTACCCTGAAACGTTAGTATCGTGAATCCGTAGGATATGCGCGGCTGCTTAAAGAAATATGGATTTGACTAGTTTTTATCGGTATTTAGTAAATGAAGTGAAGTGAATGAAGTTTAGTAATGAAGTTTAGTAGTGATCCTTACAATTATTATCTCTCAATGAATCAATTTTCTATCAACATAAGTTTTGTATTTCAGTGGTCGTTCGGTGTGTTGATGTGGGAACTAATGACACGAGCTGCTTCTCCTTACGGGGACGTCTCTAATGCCAAAGTTCGACAATATCTTGAAAGCGGTTTGAGGCTTCCTCAGCCGATGCATTGTCCGGATGTAATGTAAGCAAATTTTTTACATTCCTCTAAATTATCAGCCTTTCGAACAATTTTTTTCCAGTTACGATCTAATGCAATGTTGTTGGCGTTCATTGCCAGATGATCGGCCAGATTTCGTATTTCTTGTACATCGAATCAGAGCTTTATTGCAGGTGGGTGCTTTGCGTTATATTTGTACGAAAAAGGGTTGATAGGCTGGAAGCCAAACCAAAGTTGTCCTTGCCAGTGTCGTGCCAGCATCGTGCCACGCATCGATCGATCGACGCTAGCGCGGCGCTGGCTGGCTCCAGTTGTGGGCGCTAGACAACTATCCGATTTTACTCACTTGTGTATTGAAAATATTTGATTTCCCCAATTAAGTGAAATTTTTTAGGAGAACACTCCTGACCCGTACACGCGGCGACTACGCCCTGGAGCTGAGGCGTTCCTTCTGCCTGTACTTCCTGGAAGACATTTCACCAACTATTTTGCTAATCAACTTCATCGATAACGCCTCGAGCTTGGCACGACGTTGTCGAACCGAAAAAGTGTTTAACACACGCTGCCCGAATTTGCTCAGAGATGATGCACGTTTCCTTCGACGAGGAGAAGAAGCCCAACACATAAAGACATAAGCGTGCCCTTTGAGTCTTGTCTGAAGAGACGGCTATATTCTAGGTCTTCCAAAATGTATATTCTACACACCCCATCACACTTTCAGACAAGATGCCATTCTAAAAGCTCATTTAAGCGGTCCCGAATTTTCCGCGCGCCAGCGCCGTGCTCGCGCCGTGCCAGCGCCCAAGTGAGCGCGCCTCGTACCGATCGATTTACGGCGCTGTCACGGCGCTATCTCGGTCCTGGAACGGCAACTCTGGGCTGTTCTTATCCACGCCCCATTTAAATCCTCTAGCATCTGAGCTACTTATATTTCCACGTGCCAAATCCTCCAACTGATAAACCTCTGCCGAAGGGAACCCGCTCCTCCAGCGCATGTCAGATGACAGCTTATCTGACGGGCATTCTGGAGAAGGCCTATCCGCATCGGCGAATCCCAGCTGCTCCCAACACTATCCAGGTCTTACGCGTTTCATGTGACTCTGTCCATTACAAACGAGTTTCCCAGTCGAATCTTCATAAGCTGCCCATTGTTGATCTACTTCATATCTACGGAATCTTTCGCACTGAGAATATTGATTGTTTCAGTTACATTGCTTTGTTAGTTGTTGTAAATAAAGATTATGCAATCCTTTGTCAAACTTTATGACATTCGAATAAATGATATTTGCTTTTTTCACAGAGTTTACAGTTTCCTTGTCGATTTCATCAGTTGTTTTCTTTTTTCAGTTTATTAATTCTGACGGATTAATACAAAAAACGTGATGATCTATATAAGACATTTCTGATAGTTAGCTATGGCACTTCGGAAACTATACATTAACGAAGTCGATTACTTCTTGTCAGTAAGTGCTTAAGAGATTGCGAGGTCGGCTGACTTCGTTGAAACCTATTCTGACTTCCGTATAAGGATGCCAGGTGGATCACGGTTTTTTCCACCTGATTCTCCTTCTGTTCTAGATTCCAAGAAAGATTGAAGACAGAAGTGAGGGTGAAGGCAGAAGTTCTACGACTATCAGCCTGTTTATAGCAGGGAAACTAGCGCTAATGTGAATATGGATGCTGCAAATCAAACTACACTTGTTCGAAGAGTTCTCCAGTTGTCAAGTTTGATGCGATATTTGTCGTATAATGCTGAAGGTGTGCGAACATTGAATCAGCTCAGCAATGCAACTAATGTCCTTTTTGTGCAAAGACCCACGAAACCGTCTGGATGTGATACATGCAGCCGAATTCTTTGCATAATCTGATTGTTTCGGGGCTACGCCTTTTCTAGTGCCTCTGACATACAAGTAAGGATGATATCTGTGAAAGGCTGTACAGTACGCTCAGCAGGCTGCTAAACGGTATTTCCGAAGGTCCTCTGTTCTTGAAGAGGAGAACGTTGAAGTTTTTCACTGTTGGAAATCCACTTCTGGAAGAAGGACGTCAGATGCAATGCGATAATCTCGTATAGACCGCCTCTGACTCGCAGAAGCAGTTGGCGAATGAAGTTGGTATAGAAGTTGTTCTAGAAGGTCTCCATCTTATGCTGGTGAGAAGGTCCCGTCAGCCATGGCCAGCGGTACGTGACATCCGCATAGATGCCTTCGAATTTCTGTTCGTCTAAATACAAATCTCTATAATCGAGTCTCTTCCTAATTTACTCATATCGCCCCCTCGAGAACTTAAATCATAAAGAATAAGCTTGGTCTTGCCTCCCAAAGATATTGCCTGTCCGAACAGTGGCGCACTTCATGTTTCTGTCATTTTCGAGCCTCTTCAGAAGGCTGAATCCAAATCTAACGCGCACATTGCGTAAACCAAATAAAAACTCTGAAAACCTTTATGATGATGCGAAAGAGTATGTGGTGCTGCTAATCCAGGGGGGTACTACTGTGGCGTTCGGTGGGCTTAAGCACCTAAATTTTACTCGAAAACTAGTGAGCTCGCCAGTTTAATTAACCTAGCGCCTAAAGAAGCTATGCTAAGTTACTAACAACTTATCTTAGTAACATAAAATGATGAGAAAACTACATACAATAACAAGGACTACTGTAACTAAACCACTAAACTGGAAGAAAAACTCCAACACGGGAAACATGGTGTCCCGTCCCGTGCTACTGATCGTGCGCGTCTACTAAACCCTCCGATAATGGTAATGCTCCCGAGGCTTCACCTATACAGATCCGCCACACGTCGCCGGATGACAGGCGATGCACTTCTCCGCTCTCAAAAGTCTTAAGATCCTACTATTCTGAGGCCCAGAGACCCAAAGGTCGCTCGTCCGAAATAAATCTTAAATCTGACTTGAATTTTAAGTTAGTATGAGTTCCGGTGCGCTCAACCGCTACTGCAAAAGTGGCATCAAAGACAGAAGCTGAACTGCCAGGCATGAGCACAATAAAAACATAAAAAAGATTATTGATCGAAGAAGAAGCAGACAGCATGAAGTAGGGCACCGCCGCCTTATATAGCCGTTTGGTTGGCAAAGCGCCAAGGCAAGGAGAGAACTGGAGGGATTGCGACAAGCGTGAGAAAGTATTACCATAATCGTCGCCGGATAGCGCGCCAACGACCCTGCCCCCGGTCTAATACTTCTAAGAGCTCTCGCGTCGCGGAGCTGCGAAATCACCAGAAGTATGTATCTCACTGTCATGCATGTCATGCATGTCAATGCATGTGCGCAGGGCTTGTGAACTAAAGAGGAAGGGGAGCTGCTTCATGACCGTAAAGCAAGAGAAGCCGCATTTCCAAAGGATTCAACAATTTGCCCTAGTCGAGGAGGGATCTCTAACTGTGTCAACATCCTAGATAAGCCGACCTTGTTTGGAAGCTTCTGCCCCTAAGCCACTTCCATGCTCTGATGAGGAGTGATGGAAAGTTCTGGTGTTGTGGCTTGTTCCTGTTAGGCCAAGCGTTGTATGCTTGAATTTTGGGGGAACTACATTCAGTCTTTGCACAGAGAGTATGGCTGACATTCGTAGTCCACGCTTGACATAAATATCTTACAACGGTTTGATACCCATTATCCTACTAGAAAGTGAGTGCACGTTGAAGACAACTTACTTTTTGATGCGTCACCCGATTTTCTCCGGCTTTTACGTTCCTTTAGTTTTGGCGAACCTATCTGCATTGTTCTCCTCATCTTTCTGAACAAGAGTTCCTGAGCATGCAAAAAGAAAGCTGTGAAACCATCACAAAGGGCACCACACAGAGCGACGCAGGAGCTTTCCATGTTAAATATTTTACTAGAGTTAAGAAAAAGCACGGCGAAAATTCTTGCAAAAAATCTAACAATAAGTTGGGCGAAGGTGTTAAAAACTAGCTTTTCAAAAAGTTTCGCTATAGAACTTTTGCGACTTATCAGCTGTGCTTCACGATGATATATGATTGGCCGAGAAGAATATAGTTAGGCTGTTGACTAAGTTTTGCAAGTGAGTCCGTAACTTCTCACTTTTTGATGTTGATGCGCTCAAATTTTGATATTGATAGATTGTTGTGTGAGCTATAAACTGGCACAAGCCTTTCTGATGACAGTAAAGAAAAAATCCGAGTTTAAACTGATGAAATTTGAAGATTCGTGGAGTTTTAAGTAAAAATGAAGCCATTTTTAACGTAGATCATGCAGAACAATCCGAAAGTGCTCAAATTGCTGCTAGAGCTCAACTCAACTAACGCAGTAGGGAAGAAATAAACTTCGAAGACAACTCAAGATTTGACGACCTTACAAAGTTAAACGAGCCGCTGTACGCAAAGCTGCTTGTGGACAAAGCGTCAGTCACTAAGGAGTCAAAGTCTCTGAATTCGCTAAAACTTTGCATGATAGGATTATTTGCTCTGCCAGATACGAATATCACATTTCCTCATCAAATAAACACCTTTTTCCTTGTTTAGCGTGAAAATCCATACCGTAAAACTACTTAATATTACCAGAAAAGCCCCTATCAAGCGAAACCAATATCGTTTTCGTGATCAGTAAGTCAAATAACCCACCTACACAAAGTTTCAGCCAAATTTGTAATAATCTATAATTTTCCCCTTGTACCATATATCTACCGTATCCTGCGACGTCAGCTTTTGCAGAACTGTGGCTGCGCTTATAGATTACGTCACGACCTACATGATTTACAGTGAGATATATTTTCATAGTCGCCTGTGTTTCTACAAATTCATTATGTCTCCTTATGATAATTGACAAAATGAATTGCGCTGCGAATTCAGCTGATGTTCATGGTATACCTCTTATCATATTCGCTCTAGCAGAAAAGCATTTCTAGAATACACATGAGGAAGCGAAATGGACAGCTCAAGGATCCGAAACGACGGAAGGGATTTATTTCAAAGCTTCAGAAATTGGCTTTTCTGGCTACTCTAAAAATATATACTCCTACCAATTATTGCTGATTTCATTTGCGGGTCCAAGATTCTGGACGTACGGTCTATGTCCGAGCGTTTTTCCCACGAATGTCACCGCTTCGCATGCCTCTCGTACAAATGCGCTGCTTTCGGCGCGTCTTTTTGAAAGTATACAAATCTTAGTAGGTCCCATTGTATGCATCAAATCAGAAAAACTCAGGACACACGATCTATCTACTCAACTCGCATTTGCAGATGTACGCTGGACATCGAATTTGCTCATTTACACCACATTTCAGACAACGAACTTCTCTTTTTGGAACGGAAGCTGAAGCGATCGTTGCTTCGCAGCATTTTTCTCTAGGTTGCGCGATAGAATTGATCTAGTGGACACAATAGCTAACGTGCTTGCAATGCAGACAACCTTTGCGCGGATGAAATTGAATAAGAAGTAGATGGATGGAGGCAGATGGAAGCATGTAATGATGCTGTTATCTGTGGTAAAGTAAAATCTCATTAATAATTTGATGATCTGCGTTCCACGAGCATTTTTGGGATGCAGATGCTGCTGGCAACGCTAGAACACCATAATCGTTCGAAACTTACACGAAACTGCTGTCCAGATCGTACTATCCGCAAGCCATGTCTTGCAATCACAACATCGACACATCTCATAGGCAGTCTCCCGGCAAAATCTCGCTCTCCGCTTTTTTTCACCTCTTCGCGGCCTTCTCGCCATGCTAAAAACCATATCTGAGCTTTTCAATTGATAAGAATGAACTTTTTTGGAGCTTTC